AGGCAAACGCATGGGGGTCGGTGGGAGGAGGATGGTTTGATGATGACGATGATGAGGGTGACAACAATAGCAGTGACCGGCTGCATGGCTGATATTTGCAAGTGATGGCAATTAGGTAAGCAAATGTTCATGTACAACAACATGAAAGCATGGGTCATTTGTAATCCCCACCATCCTCAACCAACCAACCAACCACCTACACACAAATGACACATCAATGAAACTGGAGCCATTCAAGTGGTAGATCATGTGCTCACGCGCACCTTGGTAACCAGGAGAAATCGATGTCTTCTCATCCCACCTGCTGTGGAACACAAGCTAACCCGGTTCGATCAATATCGGTGAACAATACCCGAGGAGCTCGGCATGAGATTGGACTGATGCATGAGTTGTATAGATCGAATCTTTTCAGTCAGGAAACAAGTACAAGACTAACTTGTTATTTGTATCGATAAAGGAAATCGTTTTCCTGTGCATGATTCAAGTCTGTGTGTATATTGCTATCTGTACGTGTATCACCCGAAGAAAACTGAATCTACAGTCAGACGAACAGAGAACTATTTTGGAAACAATTAGAGTTTGTAAAATACTTTTAGATAGACAAACATGTGGTAGACATATTCTGAGTAATATACTTGAAAAGTGTGAATACGGCTGAAATATGGCATCCTGGAAGTAGTTGCATTTTGTTGCTTGGACTACTAACGTGATTACAACTACCCTATCTGTCCTACTCCTACTTTTATCATAACTGTATTGTCCAACGAAATACATCCATAATCAAAATCTCTACTTGATTGTCAGGGTCGAAGTAAGCAAATGAATATACAAAACAGTGACCTCAACGATCCCCTATTCTGGTCCCAGTTATAAATCATTTGAGCATACTACGATGCATGCCAGTCACCGAGCACGGAAAACAGTTGCGTTACAATTGCAGTGTAAGCTAAAATCACATGAACACTTAATTTTTTTAAAATTCACTTCTGACAATGAAAGCGTCATAACGATTTTTATTGAGACAGTTGTCAATCAGATTACGTTAAAATATTCACCAACTTCGGTAATATAGAGATATTTTTCATGAACATTCACCCCACCTCAGAAGATGCGACAACAATAGGGGGGAAAGTACTCTACTAAGAGAAATTCTTCTATCTTAGCACAATTTATTTCGTAAATTTTACTTCAAAACTACACATCTCCTGAGCACTATTGTCCTGCACTCCACAAACTACTGTACCATTATTCTCCCACTTCCACTACGTCAAAAACGACCTCCAGTTCAACAAGGTAACCATGGGCATCAGCATTTGGACATAACCACCGCGCTAACAAACCCGAGAGGTTCTCAATCGGATGGAGATTACCACTAGGATCGAGCGTTCCTCGAGAAATTACTGATGCCTTTTGCTGTTATTTTTAAACTGTCACTTGGTTGTGTCTAAGATGCTATTCTATCCATATCTTAGAGATCAGTAAAATTAAACATTTCAATGTGCAGCATTGTCTGCTGCTGGATTGCCAATGGACAAAATCCATCTGTGGAAAGTAGAACATAGACCATAGCTGATTGTTTGCGGCTGGTGCTTTACTCCTTTCCCACATTATGCCGATAGTAATGTAAATTATCCAATCAAAGGAGACTTTCTAGTTACTAAGTATCGCTTTTTCCCACTGGTGCGTTCAACATATGTCAATTTCTGTTCACAGGAATCGAAGATGACATTTCTGCTGGTTAGAAGAAACAATTTTCTTCAGTAAACCAATTTTAATGATGCGTCCACTTCACAGATTTTCTTGAAGTACTTCACCTAAGCTCTGTATTTGACCGCTATAAAACCAGTTGTTGTTTTTAATGTGGATCGAATAAATGCGATGAAAATCTTTGTGATGACAAACAAAGAGCACTTGAAAGCTGTTTCATCCTGTTAAAAACTCGCCAGTAGTGCATACTTTTTCTGTCCCTTTCAGAACTCGAACCGCGAACATTCGGGTTAGGGCTTTAATCTCCAATCCATGAGCTACACTGTCGACGGTCATCATTTTGGGCGAACGGCCCAATCAATTAAGACTATGAACGTTCTCATTTGTATGCATTTACCTCATGGGAACTTAACGATCTCCCAAGGAGCGAAACCCATACCTAAGATCATCAACATTACCCGGTGCCTGTAAACAAACCGGATGGGCTGATTCAAACAAAATCGGATCGAATAACTTTACACTTTACTCCTTCGGTCAAAACCACCGGGTGTTAAGCTTTTTATTATGAGAATTGGTGGTCGTTAGGCAACGTTGACCTTGACCTTGAGTAGAGCAATATGTACCTACTCTTTCTCCACTTGGCTGGCACCTTGCGTCGTTGTTCAAAAGGACTGAAGTTAACACGATTCCTCTCGTTTAATGGTGCTATATCATTCAATCCACTCACAGTTCGCCGATTAACGTTGTGCACAATGAAGGTGAAAACTTTGGTCTTGCCTATGCAGACTTAGTTTCTGATTGTTTGGTTTCCGCAATCTGTGGATTGAAAAGTTAGGCATTCTAATGCACCATAGGCGTCAATAGGCTCATAGCAAATAGCGAAGCACAGACGACCACTTTAGATGGTGAATGTTTGGATTAGCCCATTCGGTTTTTCACATGCACCAGGCACTGTTGATGATGATGCAAACAAACAGTAGGGAATTAACGATCTCTCAAGGAGTGAAACCTAGATCGAACATCGTTAGCAGTGCCTGGTGCCTGTGAAAAACCGAATGGGTTAATCCAAACATTCACCATCTAAATTGATTGAGCCATTCGCATGAGGTGATAACCGTGTAATCCAAGGGTAAGGGTTTGAAGTCCCAGCCCGAAGAATCACGGTTCGAGTCCTGACAGAGACACAAAATGTGCGCACTACTGACGAGTCCCAAAAAGGCCGAAACAGCTGTCCAGCGCTCTTAGTTGGTTATCACAAACATTTCCAGCGCACTAAAACAGCCGACCACCTTGAAAAAATATCACAAAATAACAGAGAACACATCAAAAACTGCGCACGCTACTTTCAATGAAACTCCCATGTTGAACCGTATGTCCAACGTTCATACATTTCAAAATTTAGAATATCTTGCTTCATCAAACACGAGCCTAGTGAATCACGACATCAGGCGCGATTGACTCCCCCTACCCTTTTGTTGCGTCCTGCATCAGCGGCTGTCTTTCATGTCTATGGAATGGACTAATCCATTGAGATCCAGACGGTGATAGATAAGGCAACGAGCACATCAGCGCTGACGAAATAAATGTCCATCAAAGCAACTTAGCCGAACTACCGCCTCCACATCATACAATAAAAGGGAGCGAATCCGCTGGCTGTATCGAAATGGGACTACAATATTGGCATCCGGTCATGGAACGAATGACGGCTCCACCGTCTGATTGTAGCGTTACATCCAATCCTGATGCCAACACCCACCCACTGGTATGTAACAGTCACAAACCCTGTAGGAGTTTGCCACACCTAAATAAACATTGCAGTTACGGCTCTTAAAATGCACACGGGGGAAGACAACCGTTTTAAGGGCTCGATTATGCACTCGAAGCGCATCACGGCCGCATCTCCGCAATCGATAGTTGGCTCACACTAACCACGCAAACAGGCCATTTGCCACCATCAACCTAAACTTCGATCATCCAGTAGGAACTGAAAGCTTCTGCCTAGGTTACCGTTTGTAAGACGCCGGGTCCGGCCAGTCGTAATCTTTAGATGTACTGCACACCTCAATCGGTGTAGCTTCTTCACCTTACCATATCCCAATTATACAGCTTTCCTCCGCTTTCGATCGAACAACAGCAGCACCCAGAGCTCACCTACAACAAAAACCTTGAATCCGCTCTGAGGATGGTTATCCCCAACACAGTCAACCGCCTCATGATCCTCATCGGTGGTCGTAGTGCAACAACTGCTATTTTGCCGAAATGCCTGCTATTCAGTCGTACAACTATTCAGACGACGGAGGGTCAACCCAGTACTGCCCTGAGGCCAGATAAGATACTAAAGGTACGCCACGGAACACCTAAGTGCCGATCAATCTTTGTGATACCCCAGCAACCCTAACTTCAAAAAGAACACTGGAGAGAAAGTTAGGCGATCCGATAAATGATCTGCAATTGCTGGTTCAGAAGCGCCTGAGTTTAGCCAATTTTGTTTTAAACACTGTATTTTGACATACTACCGGCGTCTTGCTTGTGGAGAATTGCTCAATATAAGAAGCGTTCTATAACGAGCATTCCGGTACGGGCAAAGTACCACGGAGTGCGGTAGTAACACACGCGGCATCGCGATTCACTGCGCCACTGTTACATCATCCGCGTCTTCTATCCTTTTTTTCCAATACCGGGTGCCAAAGTCCTGTTACTCAAACCCGCTTTGATAAAAACGCGCTCCACATCAACACTTGGCTTCAAAAGACGGACATAGTCGATCTGACCCCCACACTCGGGTGACATTCGGATTTTACTATTTGTCCACTGTATACGACAATATCGATAAAACCCAAATTGACTCTATAAGTGGCGGATAATTCGAAGTGGTCTACCTGACTCTTAAGCAGTCGCCCTGAACGAACATCTCAACGGTCGATCGGGGCGGACCCCATTGAAAAACCACTCAAACCAATAGCATATGAACTCGTTAATACCAGGTGACCTCGGGTCCCGCGGCATGGGGATAGATACCCTCCACTTTCGTCATTGGATTTCCAAAAGCGTCGAGCCCAATTCAAGCACAAGTAGAATAGCATAAATTGGACAAATTACGAGAAGGCACTCACCGAGAAGACTGAGAAACCTCATGATACTCGCAATCGATCTCAAGGATGTTCCCGATCGAAGAATAAAGAAAATGTGGTGAAAATCGTGATTTCTGTATTGAAAAAAAGAGTACGTGTGCGTAACGATATTAAGACGGTGATAAATAAGATAAAATCAGCCTGCTTGATGTATGTGAACGATCAACCAGAGCAGGTGGAACCTGTGAAGAATCCCACACCAGGATACGGTGGGAAAACCGGACAACGGACATCCATTATTGGCCCACATGATGAACTACACATGGGGTTCGATTGGATTGGAAATGTCGTGGAATAGTAGACATGAGCAGCATGTTCCGATTGACACCACAAGTGAGGAGGATTGAGAGGAGTACTAGAGTAAGCACTACCTCCGTCACTTTCTTTCTTGAACCACTCTAATTGCGACTCGGACACCGTTGTGCTTGACACTGTCAGCGGATTCGATGATGAAGCAGGGACCAAGTTTACCGCCTCGTGTATTTCTGATTGGCGTATTCGTCCGTGTCTCTTCATGTGCATCTGAAGATGATCCGCACGACGAAAAGCCCGAGAACATTCGGAACAAACGAAGGGTCTTAGGTCATCGTGTCGCCGACGATGTCGGGTCAGCTCATCGGATCGTGTGAATCGCTCACCGCAAATAAATGGGGTGCAGTCAAATGATGGATCTTTCAAAACTCGTTGTTGAAGGGGATAGGTACACATGTACGGTTTCTCACCTACAATTGTGAAGATGGGCAGGAAAACGGGAGTGAATTTGGATTTATCTCCTACTCGTGAAGATGAAAGTGTGCTTCCTTATATCATACAAACGAACACAGACAACCCTAAACAAATAGCAAAGCACAGTAGCGAAGACAACCACCGCACTGCCGAACTCACGAATTTCCGGCTTCCCGCTCATGCCTATTTCAACAGCACTTGAAGAAAACTTCTACGCTGATCATGAAAGACATAGTCAGGAGACCACTCCTCAGCTGGTACACTACAATTGCAGGGTCCGCAACAGACACAAACATCGCGATGCAGTACCTACAGTTCATATTCACTTTGGCAATACACGGGCAAACAGCTAGTTTGCTGATCAAAATTAACAACTACGAATTGTAAACAGTAAATGTATCACACGGGGACCACGAAAAAACCACACTCACCTGTATGCACACGGAAGTGGGCCTTTAGATGGCTGCTTCTACAGTATGTCTTCGTGCATCCTAAACACAAATTAAATACAAGGAAGGCAGGGATAAGGAAGTTACTCTCATAAGCTAGCGTAACAATCGTATCGATCCGCAATAGAATTACCCATAATTCCGAGAGGACAAAGCTCAGTGCTTTTATTTTACTCGACTAGATTCAGTAGAACCGACCATTCCCAACTGAATCTTAGTACACGAACACCTAATTTAGCAAAAGCTTTTACGAAGTCTTGCCAAATTCGGAGCTACGGGATGTTCAGCTGTATTATTTCTCAATCGGCGGATAGCCCTTGCTAGAAACCTCCTCTAGACGAATGGGCTGCCTATCAGTCGTTAAACTCGGTAGGTTTTATGAGCTCTAGATATTTTTCACTTGGTGCCTAATCGTGCTCCAGAACGCCTCAAAGCTATTCGTGTGGACCCCGGTGGTAGGATTTATAAATTCACGAGATTCGCTGTGAGGAGCAGAAAACCTAGTCAACCTAACGACTGTCAGGCAGCCCATTTGTCTGTGAATACTGGTTCCTGCAGCGGTCCAGCTCTGGACGATTGGAGTTAGGGTAGCAGCTCACCTGTTCCCCACGCGTTAAATTAACCCTTCAGAGCTCAATCATACGCCCCAAAAAAATATTTTTCTGCCTTCTTCTTCCGTACTTGCTGCGCGGCACAACGGTTTCTTCGATCTCAATCACAACACAAAGCTCCCAATTGTGTGACGAGAGTATAGCACCTACAAACACATATCGCGGTAGAACGCATACCCCCAGACATCAGTCTCGTTACTTACATCCGCCATAACAGCAGCACGCGTCACGGATTCACCCATTACAAATTAAAGGATTAATTATAACGCATCCAATTTTCGCAAAATCAATCGTATCTGCGATCATTACACTCATTGCATATCCACCAATGCATGTACGCTAAGCTGAAGTCAAATGACGGTCTGCATGTGTCCAAAGAGAGATGACCCGTCAAAACAACACAATTCAGAGGCGAGAACCACGTGACATGAACTCAAGGTCATGACTTTGAACAAAAATGCCAAAATTTTCTCTCTTCATAGGACCTACATACCTTCGTACACATAATCAAAAAGCACGTCCAGACAAGACAATAGTCAAACCATTGAATGAAGTTCGAAAAGTTTCGAACGTGAGCCGTTTTGGTATGATCCGCTACATTTTCGATCCTTTTTAGTTCATGGAGCTCGTGTGCACCTGATACAGGAACTTCGATATCGACATCCACCCGACCGGTTTCCTAAGTACCTTTTCGATCAGCATCCAATACAACAGATGACGACATCAGACACAATGGAACGTCGCTTTGAACCGCAAACAACCTTGTGCAGATTACCAAGCCACGAGAGACAGTGCCGCTTATTAACAATACAGAGGAGAAACCAGGCATTCCTGATAAGGAAACAAGTTCGGAGCTTCCGCTCACGGTACCCTAATGCACATGAATGCCAAGATGTTCAACGTCAGAGAACATTCCTCATCAGGTGGCATATGTCAACACTAAGGTATGGATAACAGGTGCGACCACTGAGTTTGGATTTTCACGAACTCTGATGCACTTCAAAACCGGGGTCGGAATTGACCCCAATCACTGTTCTCGGTCAGCCCTATTCGGATCTAACTAGTGGGTGAGTGAACCTCATTTGAGCGCAATAGTTCGTGCACTGGAGCCCGAAGTAAACAGTCCGAACTAAAGTGGATCAGCGTCACACCTGGGCACATCTGTCAACACAATTACGAATTCCGTCCATGACCAATACTTTGACAACCATCAGCGCGATTCATACGACACTGCTAGGCGAATGAAGGAGGACTAAGTACTCCGACTAGGCTAGGAAAAGTGCATAGGACAATTTGTTCTTGCATTCGCTAGAAATAAACGGCATCCTACGGAGATTACTGCGTGCCTAATTTACCGAAACAACTTACTCACCAGGATAGTCACAAACAAATGCCCTTACAGATGGATTGCTACGCGCAGAAATTCTTGAAGCCCGTTTCGTGGGTGCAGTCCGACGACGACAATGTTCCACATTTCGCTCCACGTCAGGAGTGGCTTCAACAGCCGGAACACATGGCGTTGCGGTCCAAGTCGAGAACGATCCATATCCGTTCGGCCAGGCTGGGCCACACAGCTGATCCCCACTTATCCTCGGACAACAAGGACAGCAAACAAGCATGGAGCAGGACAGACCGCAACAACTCATCTTTCGAGAATAACCGGGTCCAGGAGCGCAGTTTTATAGGAATTGTCCAAATGGTTCATTCGACCAATCAAAGGAACGCGATCGTCTGGAGATTTGAACCGGACCACTAATCGGGGGATCAAACGCACCGTCTTGCCCTGTTTGACTCATTACCGCTTGAACAACCCACCCACGCGAGCTAAATGTGTGCGCACGTGGGTGGGGGTGAGTCGGGTTGGGTTGGGACGAACATTGCAAGCCGAGAGCGAAAGGGTGAAGTGAAAAAGATCACAGTCCGCTCAGTTTTCGACGTGCGTGGTCCTTTCGCACCCCTTTGATCTACCAATCGGGTGGCACGTACGGTAGTCACGAGATCCCATTGGAATTCACACAATAGACAGAGTTACCGAGCGCCAGGCTAATCCAACAACGGCCGTGTGTGCACGTGCACTGAGCCTGTGGTGAAGCAAGGCTTACCATAGCTTGATTTACCAAAGAAACGTGGGTCCATCAGCCACAGGAACACCAATTCAATCAGGCACTTTCCGACCGAAGTTGGATCGTATTGCAATGTAGTCCCATGGTTTTTCAGGTGTCCATGATGTGTGTAGATTCTATCATTCAAGAACAGGTATAGTTTGATTTGAGTGAAGCGCCATTGAAGGAACCGATCATAAAAGTAATAGTGTTTATCCATTGTGTTTCAAATTACCATTTGAGACTAAAGTGTATGACACGACTTAGGATTGTTAGTGAGCGTAATCACAGCAAGGTACACAGAATGTACGAAAGATCAGGAGCTGATTGCAGCTACCTTAGGCTAATATCATGGTAACCATAGATGGAACCTGAAAGCGGATCTGAACGGGGCAAGAACGCACACAATGCGAGCTTGCCGTTGGAACTTGAGTCGATGCACTGTAGTTGAGCTCATGAGAAGTGTTATATCAGGGCAAGTAATGGCCAACCTCTGAAAGTTCAAAGTTCCCACGATGTGCTTTATTTGACCTTTTTGACTTCTACAAGTTTGTGGCATGGCATTGTAAGCATGCCTCAATAGCCCTTATTTTCGTATATGTGGTTAAGAGCTGAAGCTTTCCTGCTACCCGTAATGCATTTGTCCGTAATCACATCCATCATAGAAAAAATATACCACAGAACTTAAAGAATAATACGAAACAAGCAGATAAAACTGTCGGTTGCTGCACCGCTATAGATAAATTTCCTTGTACTCATCCTGCAGTTTTTCCCTGACAGTTTGTGGTACGAAGTGAAAGGAAACGGAGAAAAACGTGGTTATCTGCATTCTTCCGAGCTTTGCGTACTGTCTACCACCGGAAACTTCACAACCGGCGGTCTTATGCATCTTATGAGTGTCGGAGCCGGAGGCTGAAAAACAATGCAGGATTTGACTGAATGTAAAACATAAGTATCGCACACAGAAAAAATTGATACCTTTCGGTTTTTCTTCCTGCGATCTTTGCGAAAGTATTAAAAATGATTTCCTGAAACGGACCACGATTGTCAAACGTCACTTTGAATCCATGACTTGAAATAAAGAAATTTTCAAGTGTTTTCCAAGTATATTTTTGTATCCGTCAACATTTCTGTGATGGAAGTAGGGATAACTATTTTTCAGCACAAACACAGAACCTACAGGTCAATGGAATTAATCATAGCTTCCTCACTATAGCATCAGTGCTTTACCGACCTGATCAATACACGAAGTAAATGAACCACATGTGTTCCCGGATCATTCCTCTGGAGAATAGTTGACAACTGAAGATTTAGCTCCTTAAGAAATCAAGTAAACGTTTTTAACCACATTAGCCACGCTTCGTTTTCAATCTTCAGAATCTTTAGTCGTATGGGTTCTAGTGGAATCACGTCTCACAACGATATTAAGAGAGTGATGAATGCAAAGGAATACAGTCTCGGATGAATCGATGGGAAAAAGAACACAACTGTTTCTCTGATGTATATATATCATAATAAGCAGTATGTGAATGACTGGACAAAATTTCCCTGGAAGCATATACATATACATATATATATATATATTGAAGATTCCCATTGTAACATTTGAGAACAAAACACGAGATAGTGAACGAGCTCGTTTTTGATAACTTCCACATTTGGCTGATACAGTTATATAAATAGGTATATAAATAGGCATATCACATTTGCATAACGTTTGACGTGTGTGTGGATTGGATTGGTAGATGTAAACAGCTAATTACATCTACCAATCCAATCCACACACAC